GTAGCTACAGAGATTGGTGTTTGGCCGCTCTCATCCGCAATGTCGGGACCGACATCCGCCCGTTCTAGCAGCATCTTCACCACTCCCCCACGTCCATTCCCAGGCAGCGACGAAGAGTGGCGTTCGACCGCCTTCATCTGCAGTGTTGGGGCAGACATCCGCCCGTTCTAGCAACATCTTCACGACTACTCCATGTCCTTCCCGAGCGGCGATGAAGAGCGGTGTCTGACCATACTTATTCGCAGTGGTGAGGTTGGCATCGTGCCGCTTCAGCAGGATCCTCACAACACCCTCTTGGCCGGCCTTGGCAGCCCATGACAGCGGTGTTAAGCCGTCTTTATCCCTCGTACAGGGACTAACATCTGCCCGATCCAGGAGCATCTCCACAATACCCTCACACCCACGGGTAGCAGCGAACGAGAGCGGTGTTTGCCCACATATATCCAAAGTGTCGGGATTAACATCTACTCGTTGCAGCAGCATCATCACGATCCCCTCATGTCCATCCCACGCGGCCTGCGAGAGTGGTGTTAGACCGTTTGTATCCCTCGTGTTGGTTTTGATATCCGCCCGTTCTAGAAGCATCTTCACAACTCCTTCATGCCCATTCGAGACGGCCCAGGAAAGCGGGGTCCGGTCATATCTATCAATGATATTAGGATTGACATCCTCCACTCGTCTCACAAGGATATTAACCACTCCCTCACGCCCATACTCAGCAGCAGACGAAAGTGGCGTTTGACCGTATTTGTCCCTCGTGTCAGGATTGACGTCCGTCCGCCCCAGGAGCATCTCCACCACACCCTCATGCCCACACGCAGCCGCCCATGAAAGGGGTGTCCGGCCGTCTGTGTTCGCTGTATCGGGGCAAACATCCCGTCGCTCCAGCAGCATCTTTACCGTCTCTTCATGCCCCTTCCTAGCAGCCCAGGCAAATGCCGTATTTCCCCCGACATCAGTTGCATTAAGATCCCATTCCCTCACCTCCAATAGAGCGCCCATTATTTCCGTGAGCCCGAGGTAGGCTGCACCGTGAAGTCCCGTGAATCCCCCAACAGTATTACTACTTTCTTGTTCAGAATGGTGCCACCACCAATCCCTTTCATGAATTAAGAGTAGTTTGGAAGATACATGTTTATCGTAACCCTCGAGAAGGTTTAACGCAAGTAATTTCACTCCTTCAGTAAGCTCGCTTCTTGCATGTGTTCCCCAGTAACAAGAAGCATATCCGGCAAATGGGGCTGTTACCGGCGGCGAATCAAGTGCAGTCGACAGATCCCTAATACACCGAAAGTTGAGGAAGGTCAAGCAAACCTCGGCCATCATTGAGTGGGGACTGTGGAACAGGTGAGCAGCATTGGACAGATGCTCTTGAAGAGTGAAGTGAATAAGGCGGACCGTAGATGATGATGCCTCAATCGTGATAAGCCCCAGTGAGCAGTGTAGCACGGCCCCAATCGCAGGTATATTCTCAGCATTCCGGCCAGTATCTCCTCTTTCTATCCCCAGCGCGTGGCATAATTCAATGGCCTTCAATGGCCGCTCGGAATGTGATATCCACATCAGGGCCTCCATACCAAGCTTCGATCTGCTCCCATTTTGTGACCTTATCCGTGTAAGGGTTGCTGTGTACGCATCTCCAAGCCCCTTCCCTTTTATAATCTCCTCAAGCTTTTTTCTTCTCTGATAGATCGTCACCTCCCCCAGTATCGCGTCAATGTTTAGTGAAACCAGGAGGAATCTAGCTACCAATGTCAGTGAATTGCTTTCTCCTATATTGTGAAAGTGCTTGATATTGCGACTCACATCCCAGAGATCATTTCAGGAATTATTCTCATAATATCCCTCCGCAAATCATCGTCCATTGCATAGGTCTCCGTGTCCCTATCCAATCTCACACCCAGATATACCCTGATATCATTGTCCGTAGGACTGACAGGTATTACGATAGTCTCAACGAAGTATTTCTTCACTTCCTCCTGGACATGAGACCTCCCGGTAAATAACACCCGCATACCCGATGACCCCCGAAAAATGTCTCGCAGTGACTCAAGCAGCTCCTGTCGGCTCTTCGGAGCGCATTCATCTAAAGCGTCGATGCATATATAAACTGGGGGCAGCAGCGTGACAGTCGCCTTTAGTATTCCCACTATATCGGGTAATCGTAGACCTCTGTCAGAAAACTGCTTTCGGAACGTCTGTCGCACGTTCTCCGGGATCTCTCCTATGCTCACAAGCTGCTTCAAGATGGCACCGAGAATATTCGTTGCTGACTGCTCTTGGTGAGCAAGGAAATCGCAATATAGCCAAGCGACAGCCAGATTCTTTTCGCCAGCCTGGTCACACAGGCTGTCAATCACTAGAGAGCTGATAATTTCACCTTGTCAATGACATCTGCTTTCCTTGGCCCTTTCGGAGGAGGGCGTTCTTACCTCAGATATGTCTTTCCCACACCTGGACTCCCCGAACAAAATAGCACTCGCTCAAGGCCCCCATCCTCTCCGTCACTCCACCTCCGAAACTCGCCGGTCTCCAGAAGCCAATTCCCCACGCCATCGACCCGCTCGTCTCGCACATGTTTATGCCGCTGTTGGGGTTTCAGAGGCGACAGCCACTCCCGAATCCGATTATCCTCATCCGATGTTCCTGTGCTGACGTTGATGACATTATTGCGATTGGTGACTACGCTGTAGTTGAAAGAGTTGATATTGTCGGTGATACTCAAGTTTTGCAATGATTCTTGTGCCATGTTGGGTCGAAATGCTCCCGATCAGTACTGGTAGTGTAATTCGAAAGGTGGTCTCGAGGGGCTCGAGGGGATTCCGAGGTTCTTACTTGTAGGACCCAAAGTGGGACAAGGCTTTGAGGTTCCACAACAAGAACCATCATCCAATCAGTTCGGGCCAATCACATTCTGCAATACCCATAGCCTTCTGGATCTACGGCTGCAGAACTCTCATACCGGTACCCACGGTATTCGTACGATACGGTGTACCCGAGCACGATACACGGGGAACGCCCGCACACGTTACAACTTACAACCGCACAATACCGGAAGAAACTTGATATGAGGACTTCTAAATACCTTGAGCGGTCGAGAAAAGAAGAACCGGAAGAAAAAAATCCCAGTAAGTAGTATCACAGTTTTCAAACAGATATTCCCCACGTAGTACTCTGAGTACGGTAGAGGCTCATCATATGGCATTATACCGCGGAAATGCCGATTCGCCAAGCAGCTCAAAAATCGGCAGCGTTTCATTCCAAGGCAAACAGCCTGCCCGAGTACTGCGCTGGTAATCGAACCACCAAGTACTCGTAGAGCTATCGGAGGCAGTACGAGCAAGATCTCTATTCCATGCTTTGTGGCCCTAGCCGTTGTGACACTCCGCCACGCTAGACTCGGGGAACTGCCATGCTTACGCGCCCGCTACGGTACCGGTACTCGAGTAGAGCCACGGGGGGCTTCGCATCCAACATCCTCTCGTGGTAAGAACTGAACGACCCTCACGAACATGCTATTGCAGACCGCCAAAATTCCGCCCGTTCGCCTAGATCTCTGCCTCATGCAATGCCGGTAGTGGCGGTGTTAACAAATGCCATTCAATTACGGGTGGAGACATGCCTACAGGTATCATACCACACCAAACACCGCCCCGCCCCTAGATGCCAGCAAAGTTCAGTGCTGTAAAGTTGGTACGAGTTCAGTGCTCTGCCGTTGTGGGGCGCAGCAAGGCGACTCGGGGTGAGGTCTCCTCCCCTGGTTGAACGGTACAGTAGTCTATCCCCCAACCACTGTCGAAAGGACAAACTCCAAGGTCAGAGCCACCTACTGGTAATTTATGTACCGGTATACACGCAGAGCTTGACATTCGCACCCCCCAATCACCAGTGTTTAATACCACCATTTCACCAAGCACTATCAAGCATTAAAAAGACGCTATTTTTTTGTAAGACTACCGTACTATCGATACTACTTGTATATTGCCCCTTCATTCGCCAGAGTATATCTAACCCCAGCACCCAAATACAATACGAAAAGATTCAAAGCACACTGCAGCCGACAATCAACACGAGCCCCGATTGATACCCAGATACTCCTCCCTGCCCCCCCTGGAGAACAACAGCAAAGTTACAGCATACCTGAACCAACAGACACAAGCCTTCCTTTGAGTATGACACTTACCGGTATACAGGTGCTGGATCGAAAAGCTTTCAGGTATCATATAAATTTTCCTGGCCTGATCCTGTACGCCTTCACATTCTTTCTTTCTACACATCTGTCTCCAAACATGACATAAATCCTGTTCAATGGTCAGTGGTATTTCCGGAGAAATGACCATTGTGTCACTTATGATGCACCCTAAACGATACCTTTCGGTCCAGCCACATTTTTCTCTTGGAGAAGAAGAAAATACGGAGAGTCCAGTAGTACCTCAGAAGTGCTAGTGGGCAGCGAGAGACCCGAGCGCGGTGCCACTGCTCGTAGTGTGATACCGCACTGGCAACGCGATCACTATAAATTCATGGCCAAGGGTTAACAGTAGATAGATAAATCGTAGAACAAGAAGGTCATCGCCGAGTGTCGCCCCCCTCAGCACTCTTTACCACCTGGTAGGTTTCTCAGAGACAGGACGATTTTTGCGATTTTTGCTCCTGCTGGGAGAGCAACATGCACCCCACCCGTCACCCAAGGCCAGGGCACACACGGGATCCAGGGAATTACTCTCTACACCGGTTCAAGTGGGCTTTCGTGCGGGAAATTCACCCTCTACATCTCCTAGCACCGGTATGTCTGCGGCGGGCTTGGCGCAGCGGGTTATAGTCACAGCATAGTCTGGCTAACTCCAGGAGGAAAGCATCCGTATTTCGGAATATACCAGGTGGAATGGTATCCCAACGTGCACCACGCGAACACTCAACCCTCCGCTCTCAATATCATACCGCAGTAACCCCTCCAAGTTCCCATAACCCGCCTAGCACAACACCCCAAACAACAGAACTCAAGATATGTCATTAATACAATACACACCCTTCCCTCTGAAGAAAAAGAAAAAAAAGAAAAAAACTTCTATCCCAACATCACCTCAAACCTAATCCTCATCATCATCAACGCCATCATCGACAACATTGTAGAACTTAAGTTCGTAAACACCGGGCGAAGTGGCAACGACGCGAAGCCAATCCCGGAGTTGGTGCTTCTTAAGGTACTTCTTGGTCCTACACAAGCACGATTAGCCCATCTTCTTCCCTTCTCCATGAAGAGAGTAAGATCATACAAATACTTAAGATACCTCCCGGAAAACTGGATATGTGCAAGCACAACGATTTTCCCATCGCCCTCCTGAGATATTTGAACAACATCTCCAAGGTTACCGACGCGGCCATCAATCTTGATCTTGTCATGGAGGAATTTCTCGAATTGGCTGACGTCGAAGATTTTATCGCCGGCCGGCCGGGAGGCGTCGATTACAAACTACCACACCCTATTAGCATTCCATGGGGAGAGGGTCGGGAGGGGATAGATCCGGAACTACCTTACGCGTAACCTTCGCAGGCTTCGCAGCTTTTGCAGATTTCTAAATAAATAAAAATGGAAAAAAAATACCTTCAGCCTACTGATTTTTTTGTGTAAAAACCAGCAAAGCGATAACAGTAGATACGTACGGTGTTGGGGGCCATTGCGATCGCAAAGATAGAGAAAATGAAGATTGAATATGAGGGGCGCAAAGAGATTTTGATATCCTACGCTGTGAGAAGGCGGTTGATTAGAGTGGGCGGCGGCGGTCGTTGGAGCGGGCGGTTTTGATTGTTGTTGGAACTTTTTGGCTCGGGAAATTTTGTGGGGTGTGTGGTGTGGGGAGCAGTCACTATCCCTGAAGCTTGGCACACCGTGAATCACTCGATTTTCACTATTTTCAGATTTCTTGTGGTTAGTTGGAGGAGTGCGCAGTGCTACCCAAAGTTTACAACACTGTAGGGCAGTCGGCTTCCAAGAAGTTTGGATTTCACTAAATCCAGTATCATAGGAGTTTCTCATAACCCGAGTCTCCTCCGACTCTACCCAAAGTGATCAATTTCCTATCCCAAATGTATTGAAGCCGAGGATATAATACAGTCATTACGCGCCCCGAAACCCAAAAATTTCCAATTACCAATCGTGAAAGCAGCACCCATCCCATAGCTCCCATCCCGTCCCAATACCGGTACCGGTACCACACACAAAAAAAAATTACTCCTTCTCCTCTTCCTTCCCGGAGAGAACATCCACAAAGTCCCTGTACCTGAATACGTCTCCACCGTGAGTCTGCCCTCTTCCCAAGGCTCTCCTCTTCGTGAACCCTTTCAATGCCCGCTCAATGTCTGCTTCGCTCATTCTCTCGCCCATGCTCGTTAACGATTCTGTGAGTTCTGCGACATCAATTGTGCCGTCGTCGTTGTCGTCGAATGCCGCAAACGCACTGAGGAGATCGGGTCCGGGGGTAAGCAGGGATAAATGTTGCGACAGGTGAGTGAGGTAAGAGGCCAAATTGAAGGGCGTGGGTACAGAAGACAGGTGTGCATTGATCATCGTCGGCGTTGGGTCTTGTCCTACTTAGGGATAAGCAGAGTTCTCACGTTGCTGGAGCCGGATAAGATAGTTACCGAGGCTCCCAAGCATAGCTCCAAGATCCTCCCGGCCAATAATCCCATCACCGTCCTTATCTAGCATTTGAAAGCTCTCCTTCAGCTCCTGAATTTGCATACTAGATAGCTGTGTGAATGCT